ATATTTAATTACCCACGAATCATTTTTTTTTCTTCAAGAGTTGACTTTTGCTCTTTATTTATTTATATGACAGCTTCTAGCCCAATATTCAAGCCTTGAAGCGTGTACTCTTGCTTTTAAAAAAATAATAATAAATAAATATTTCTTCCGTCTCTTAAAAAAAAAATTCTTTTTCGAAAATCTAATTTTTAAGGTGATATCTTTTATTAGGTTTTTTTTGGTTTGTTTTATTGTATTAGCAGTAGATAAATTATCAATTTATCCATAATTGGTTCACAATAATGTGATGGTTTAGGCTTTATTTGGTTAGGCGGAAAAAGCTAGAAAGAGAAAATTTTTAAACTTTTTTAAAGTTTGGATAGATAGAAAGAGAATTGTAATAAAAAATTTAGTTTTCCGGCGTGGAATATTTTCTCTCAAAAATTTTCCCTGCGAAAATTTTATTTTGGCGTAAAAGAATTGCCTATTTATTTGGGGTTCCTATTTTACCCAAGAGTTTAATCGTTGCAAAGTTCTCCCCAAAGGTAAGTTCTCTCCCAACGTTTCTCTGGCAACGCAAATTATACAGATAAATTTTTTTTTTAATTATCTATTATATATTACAATTCTAGCAACTCATATTCCAAAATCATATTAAAATCAGAATTTTTTATAATTAGGGATACTATTTTAATGATTTCTTTCGCTCCAAATATATACCCAGTATTCAAAATATATATATATATATAGATAGATACTACCCAGAATTCAAATCATACTAAAATTAAAAATTTTTATAATTAGGGATGCTATTTTAACGATTTCTTTCGTTCCAAATATATACCTAGTATCCAATATCTATATATATATATATATATATATATGTCATTCTGTGTGTTGTCTCTTTGTGTGTATATATATATATATATGAATGCATTTGAGTTCTTGAATGCTGATCTTATCAAAATAAGAGCCTTTTTTATTTATTCTTCTGAGATGCGTTACTTGTTTTTACTTCAACAACTCTCCCCAAGTAGTTTTTCTACTATTTAAATTTTGATGGAAAAACTTTGCTGCATGAATGTTTTATTGAACACCATATTGAACTTTTGATTTGGTATATTAATGCAAGTCAATTCCGTATGGATATGCATATATATATATAGAGAGAGAGAGAGAGGTAGTTTTGGTATGTATAATTATTTTCTTTTCACTTTTATGGAGAAAATTATTTTTTTTTTTTCATTCACTTCACTTATCTTTCACTTTCTATTTCTTTTCTTTTCTACCTTATTTCTATCTAACCGAACATAGCCTTAGGGGAAAAAAAAAAAAAAAACTGTAAATTGACTGTTGGATTGTGACATCTATTTTGGGACTAAAATGGGAAATGTGGATATTTTTTTGTGGGACAGAGGCAGTATAAAATAAAAATAAATAAAAATAAATTAAATTAAATTAAGTAATAATGATAACTTAAAAATCAATAGAGGATGGTTGCATTTAAACAAAGAAACAAGTAAAGTTATACTATCCATAATTGTAAAAACAGCGCTCAACAACCAGCCTACAGCCTGCGACGGTTGGAAGCAGTAATGCACAAAAATTGGCCCCTATTTGACTCTTAGATGAACAAACTATATGATCAAAACTATAATTCATTGCATTGACTTATAGTTGCACTTCACATGTCCTCTCCGAAATCTTTGCACCAGAAAAAAAACAAAGAAAACACCACAGCAACAGAAGCCATACATAATATGTGATATATATATATCTATTTCATATAATGCAGATTCATCACCATGGATGAACCTCTTCTCCCCAAGACCGCAGCAGCAGCAGCAGCAGAAGCATCCAACAAATCGCCATTAAAGAAAGAATTCCCCTCTGGTTTCCTCGACATCAATACGTCCACCGCTCATCTCATCAACGACAGCATAGTTCCCATCATCACAACACCCAATTCTTCTTTCATAAACCTAGTAGCCAATTTAAACAAAAAGAATAGACTCTCCCGGAGGTCAAACTCGGCACCTTCCATTATAACGGACGTGAAGGAAGCCTTTCAGGATTCTTTGGACCCAAGACCTGCAAGAAAATCAACACCTGTAGTCGTCAGGCAAGCTTTCATCGGTATTGTCATATATTCCATAATTGGCACCACAGTATATTTAATGAAAAGTGGAAGTTTCAAAGGCACTGAAACAGTAAAGCCGGTGGATGCCTTGTACTTCAGTGTGGTCAGTCTTTGTACTATTGGCTGCGGTGATATTGTCCCAGACACAACATTCACAAAGCTATTTACATGTGCCTTCATCTCAGTTGGTTTCGGGTCTATCCATATATTGCTTAATGGGTTGGTTACATATGTTCTGGACAGACAAGAGACAGTATTATTGAGCACTGTTGATGAGAATCGATTAAACATGGTTCGAACATATATGATAGATACTGCAAAGGGGCGAATGAGGATAAGAATGAAAGTAGGGCTGGCTTTTTATCTGTGACCACAGTGGGTTATGGGGATTATGCCTTCTCTACGCTAGTGGGCAGGTGTTAGTAAGCACACTAGCTGTTGCGAGGGCCTTTCTGTATCTGACTGAGCTAAGGATTGACAAGCCTAACCGTAAGATTGCCGAATGACACTAGGGGATTTAGTATCTGACTGGGTTCTTCAGAGGAAGATGACACTAGGGGATTTAGTGGCTGCAGATCTTGATTCTTGACCATGATGGAGTCATCAGGTGTGTATGATATTACCTTACTCATGGCATCTAAACATATGTTTTTATTGACAAATAAAATGACACTTACAGAAGAAATTTTTTTATCAAAACAACACAAAAATAGGAAAAAAATAAATAAACGAATATAACTAAGGATGCCACAGATGACCTAAACAATTATTACAGTTGCTATAAATTCTTAGGCTAATGAGTATAAACTCAAAGATAATTGATTGTGCTTGATTAATCAAATAAAGAGAAGTGAAGGAAAAAGTTGAATTCAAATGAGGATGCTGATTAACGCTTCAGCATAAGTGAAAATCACAAATCAGGGAAATGGGCAGAGTTCATGGAAAGGAGAAAACGTATTTAAGAAGCGGAGACAGATCTCCATCTAGAAAACTTCCAAAATATCTTATTTATGTATTATTAACAAGTAAGAGAAAAAGGGAGTACTAACTGAAAATATACAGTCACTGACAAACAATGTACACTAGGTAATGTTCTTATTGGACAAACAAAAACATCCTCAGAATCCTCCAATGATAGTAAAAAGAGACGGACTCTAAAACAGACATATACAAAATAAATAAATAAGCAAGCTGAAAGAAACTGTGACAAGATGGGGACAGGGATACACTTTTGTATGATACGTAATAATACCAACTTTAGCTTGGTAAAATCTTCTTCTTTAGAACACTGTAAAGACTGCAGAACTGCTACAAGCTTGAAGAAGTTTGTGGCATTGATACATAGAGCAGCAAAAATAGACACCCTGCGCTGGATAATACTTATCAGTTGTACAATAATTTTAAGACAGTATCTTGCTCCTGGATCAGAGCTCTCAAAAGCTACTTTCTTTTGAAAAATAAATTTGTTTAAGGAGCTCCTTGGACCTTCATTCGTGTAGGAGGACTGATCATAAATAGCTTGGAAAATTAAATAGCGGATTTCAGAAGCAACGGTTCTAATCGAATCCATATGTGGAACTTGAGGACACAGGGAAATCAAGTAATAATTAGCAAAGTATTTGGCGATGGGAGAAAAGAGATCTCTGTTATGATATGGTTTTATCAGGGATCAATTATAGAGTTAAAATGTATAGATATGTAGAAGATATGGTTCCTTGATTGATATCATCAACAAATGAATCTGCTAGTTTGATAAATCATACAAATTTGTTGGAAATGGGGTTTCAAGTGAAGCAGTTCTACTAGAAAATTAGTTTACAAGACATATGGTCCACACAGCTCTAGCCTTATATTCTCCAAATTTCAATAAAATAGGCCACCTGATTTTATTTGGTGAGACAAACCTAAGACGGAATTTCAGTATTGAAAGATATAAAAATTAAAGAGAGAAATTAAAAGGTTCGGCCACTACGGCCTACCTCAACGACACAACTCAAAGTCTACATCACTTTTATTATATTCTCTTTTCAGATTGTTTACAATGAGCGTGAGGACCAATAATAAAGTGCCATGTGGAAAAGTCTATATAGTTGAAGAAGTCCTGCTCCATTTATGAGGACCCGATCCAGGACAAGTAAGTGGCCCATGATATATGGGCCAGAACTAGCTCAATAAGCATTCAAGCCCAACCCAGGTACTCCGGAGCCTAGTTCGGATCAATAGAGCAGCTATAGTCTTGCATGAAGAATGAAAACTACAGACTTATGAATAAAGCAAAAGGAGTAAATAATTACTCCTAAAAGGAAAGAAATACAGGGATAGGAACAACTTGGAGGATAAACAATGCCAGTCATAAACCAATTCAACCTTTCTAAATCATTATAAATAGGACCAAGACCCTCAATAAGATTGATAAGCAAATTCTCCAATTGTAGAAGTAGTCTATTATTTTGTCATTTTTGGAGCATGTTGCATTAATTGTGTTACCTTTTAAGTTAACAGATAGTAAACAGATTTTTGCACTTACAAATGCCAACAGAAATCACAAACCTAGATAAACTTTGAAGCTAGTAGAAAATGGAACATATGCTGAACTGAACTCATTGGCAGCTTCTACAACAGGAGACACACAAAGTCGAACACATACATAATTCACTGGCAGTATATATACCACAAAAGACATTTTTTTTTACTTCCTTATGAAACAAGATAAACATATATAGGATAGGATGGTTGGCAAAGACCTACAAATACACGTAGTAGATCAATTTATTCTCCGTTTAGGAAATGATAAAACCGACGAACAAAACAACCAAATGGAGAAGCCGAAAATTCCTCATCTGGATCCCACTTGTTGAATCTGAAGACTGGAGAGGCTTCGTTTATTTGTGCACTCTCAATATAATTCTTCTTTGCGTTTTAGAACGATGAATAAGTCAACATCTTTATGGACTTCCTTGTCGAATATGGATGAATTTTCGGCTAGTTTCTGTGTATAGAGATCGAACAGGGGGTCCATTATTTCATTTCCAAAATGTTTCGTTATGCTTCCCTCCATTATTGCTCTTTCTTGTGCTGAAGTCATTTTGGGATCAAATCGCAAATGCTTCATGGGATGGTCCAACACGCCCGCCTTCTCTATGGTAAAACACTTATTCATGTCTACCACCATTTCCAGATCGTCAATTGATGGATGGTACTGAGGCACGTTGAAGGTGTCCACTTTTTCTTCAGTTGTATACCCCTGCAATAATAATGTACAACCCACTTAATTAATTTCTTTAATGAATTATATTGAAATAAACAGGATTAATTAGTTCCAACAATACATAGATAGTACCTAGGAAGTTATTTGCTTCAATTTTTGGATCTCGTCTTAGAAACCCAAAACATGGTTAATTAGGTATCTTAAATATTTTCTGCTCTTCTTCTTCACATCCTTTCATGTCCACTCAAATAAGACATACAGATTTGTTTACAAGGATACTTAAACTCTCAAATCTTTCATTTGAATAGGTAAAATGGTTAAAACCCTCTGTGGATCTTTCTTATTTTATTTATTTACTTCCGTCTTAGATGCTAATTTATCGTATACTAAGGTGTATAAAGTTAATATTGCTTAATTTTCTATTTGGTTTGGACAGTGAAGTGAGACTAGCTAATAGTTATATGAACACACCATTGTTTTGGGTAGCTAATATCTAGAATAATAATAATAATAATAACCAATTTTTTAAGATGAGTCCAATTGGTAGCAAACTAATTAATTTGACCCAATGATGTTTAACTAATTTTGAATAGAAGTAATTGGTTCTTACCATTTTAGCCATCTCAACAAGGCAAGATCCCAAGATGAAATGGATCATACCAGCACCAGTCTGAGAGAAAAGGCCTCCATTCCTAATACCAGGCAACTGAATCAGCATCAAGCCTCCCCCAACCATTTCCTGGGCTCGAGCTTTCAAGAACCCATCCATGTCTTTCTGAAACTGGCCAAAAAATGCCTTGGTCACATGCTCATCACTGCCTGTGTAGTGAATTTTGCCTTTGTTCCAAGCAGGAGAGTCTCTATCCAGGACTTCCTTGGGAACCTTGGAGAGCCACTGCAGGGCATAGGAGGAGTGAAGAAAATGGAGAGTGTTCTTTGGAAACAACCGGCCGTAAAAGGAACCGGGCACTCCAGCAGCGAAGTAACCCGGAGATGCCCCGGTGTTATGAGGGAGGGATCTGAAGAGAACGTTGAAGTCATTGTCTGTGTGGTCATTGAAGAAAACATGGAACTCCGGGGAGGTTTGAGGGAGGGACTGGTATTTGAGTTTCACTGCTTCGACTACGTTTTGCATTGCAAAGAAGGTGTTTGGTCCTGTAGAACAGCCAAGGTCTGCAATCCGAAATGGGTTTGAAGAATCAAAACAAGGGTTTCCTAGGTCGAGCTTCTCTGCAACTACTTGAAAGATCACATCCCTTGCTGCATCTACCACTCCTTTCTGTGATGAATAATGAAGAAAAATATTGCTTACACACATATAATAATGAATATTATTTTGTCTAGCAGTACTGTATAGTCAGTACTCTCCTAAATATATATAAACACACTAAATAGTAATTAATTGTGTTGACACTGAAAATACATTTGAGAAAGCAAGACAACTGAAGCAAACGTATATACTCTAATAAAATGTGGTATAATACCTGATAGCTGGAATTCTGAATATAGCTATTTGGGCCATGACCACCGTTCATCGGATATTGTACTTCAATGGCATCCATTGTTGTAGCTCTCTCTCTCTGTTTGCGTGTGTGTGTGAGAGAGGAGATGGAGTGAGCTGGGGAGCAAGGAAGCTTTATATAGGCAACCACTTCCACGTCAAAGATGATTTTAATTAACGTTAAGGGTTATATTCATTATAAAAAATTAAAAAATTAAAAACTCACTACTCAATTATTGCCATTTATAAATATACTAACTTTCTTAGGGTTTGTGAGTAGATGGAGTGAGCTGGGGGGATCGAGCAAGGAAGTTTTCTATATAAACAATCACTTAGGTGACAAATTTGAACTAAGCACTTGGGAGATGTGCTGTCCTTGACAATTTTTACTCGACTAGCCAAAAAACCGGATTCAATCGTGGTAGCATTCTTTTTTTCCTTGGCATTCTAACCTGATAGCATTACTCTTATGCCGTGTTTGTTCTACAGGAATAGAAAAGAAAGGAATAGATAGTACATTTTGACCATTCCTTTATTTGGTATGCAATGTAAAGTGGAAATGACTATTCTATTGGAATAAAAATTCATTCCTGTGAATGAAAATCCATTTCACAACTAAACCTATGGAAGGGCAATTCCATTCTCAAGTAAATTTTTTTTTAAAAATCAACTTCCCAAAAAACTTTTATGTTCCAAGTCCAAAAACCACCATTACCACCTCTGCCTTTCACCACCACCACCACCACTGACTTCCACCACTACTACCGCATTCCACCACCACCGCCGCTGCCGCCATCGACTTTTACCACCGCCCACCGCTTTCCACCATCACCATCGCCACCTTCCACCACCACTACCACTGCCACCGCCACAATCTTCCACCACCTTTCACCACCACCACCTTCCACTACCGCCATCACCGCCTTTCACCACCACCACCTTCCACCACCGCCATCACCGCTTTTCACCACCACTACCTTCCACCATTGCCATTGCCTTTCACCACCACTACTGCCTTCCATCGCCACCACCTCCCATCACCACCGCCACCGCCGCCATCTCCACCACCACCACTTTTCACCATTGCCACCGCCTTCCACCGCTATTGCCTTCCACTGCCATTGCCTTTCACCACCACCATCATATTTCACCACCACCATTGACACATCTATCGCTTTCCGTCACCGCCTTTCACCACTACCATCGCCATCGCCTTCCACCATCGCCACCACCTCCTACTTCCACCACCGCCATCATCTTCCACCACCACCACCACTACTGTCATCGCCTTTCACCACCACCGCCTTTCAGCACCGCTGCTACCTTCCACCACAATAACCTTTGCCACCTCCACTACCTTTAGGGCTGCAAATAAGCTGGCCAGGCCGAGCCGAGCCGAGCTTTGGGTTGCTCGAGCTTGACTCATCAACTTTAGAGAGTTGCTCGGGCTTGGGTGAGCTTGGCTACATCGGGCTTGGGCTCGTTTGTATACACCCTCCAAATTTGCTTCCCAACTGTGCATAACAAGATGTATCACAAGTTGTATCAGGTTCAACTAAAAAAACAGAGATATGTCATAGATTCAGAGAGCATATTTATACTAAGATCTGTAACTAGAGAATTTTCCATAGAAGGCAGTAATGTGTGCTCAATGTTACCACTCGTAATAGCACAAATCTTTGTAGGATATGACTATATAGAAGGTGTCGATCCCATAGGGAGATGAGTGTTCTTTGTTTTGTTTCTAACTAATCCAATTCTTTTTTGGTTAAAAGGTAACTGATTTGATTTGATTGATTGGTTGTCACGAACATAAAGTAAAATTAAATTAAAAAAATCAAAGGGAGAATGTCTTAGGGCTTGACTTCATCACGAACCTTTGTACTATGGTCAACTATTCAACCTTGGGATTTCAACAATTTATATATTCAATGAATTAAACTCTATAACATTCGTTTAATTCGATTTTAAAGAAAAATGTTTTATACATTTCAAGTAACTATAACCTATATGCGGTTAGCATGGACTATCCACCTACCTACTTCTAACTACTTTAACTAATTTTGCAGTATATTCTATCTTTCCTAAGCATAGATTATGAAAACATTCATTTATAAAAAAACATTGGAACACCATTGCATGATCTCCATTCTTATGTCCGAGAAGCTATTAGCCGCCAATCTCGTACACTAAGAATGGGTTAAGAATAATTAATGAATACCTAAATCTAAGACAAAGTATTAAATATTCAAAAACTATTTAAACATTAAAATCCAATTGATGTGACTTAATTGCTCAGAATCATGCAATCAAAATATATAATTCATTAAAATACCCAAAGTTGAAACAATCAAACCATAGTACTTAGATCGGGTTACATCAGTGCCCTAAGAGAGGAATTAGCTACTCATGGCGACGCAGGATATCATCTGTGCTATTGTGATCTTTATCGTCATGGATGGCACTTCTCTTTTCAGGATCTTCACCTTATAAGGTTATGGAAACCCTAAAAGCCGCCACTACAATATGAGACTTCTAAAATAATACGAGAGAAAAAAGAACAATTCTTCTGATGCCTTGTGCCTTCTCTTATAGAAGAATTAAGATTCTGATGGGCTTTTAGGTCTTTTGGCCTATCTTGGATGAAATAAGACATAAAAAGGATAAATCCCGCAGCTTATAATTCCAACCTGCCATGGAGGGCTCGAGCTTTAGAAGCAGAGCTTGACCTATTTGGCACGGGCTCGAGTTTTGGAAGCAGAGCTTAAGCTTTCTTTAACATGACTCGAGCTTTATGGAATGTTGCTCGATCTTCACTTTTGTACTCAGCCAAATTTCTTCAATTATTTTCCAAAGCGTCTTTTCCATCAACACTTAGAATATTTTTGGGTTTTCTTCCTTTTAACAGTGCTCGATCTTCTCTTCAAGGTGCTCAATCTTTAGGTATAAAGCTCGAGCTTTTGGCTTAAGGTTCGAGCTCTAAGTGATAGTGCTCGAATCCTTTAGGTCTAACACAAGGTTCTGGGAGCATGGCTTTCTCTGAAATCAACTCTTCAAATTTTGACGCCTCAGGCTTGAGCTTTTAGGCAAAGGCTCGAGCACCCTGAGGTAAGGCTCCAGCACCCTTAAGTAGAGTTCGAGCTTTGATGCCTTAGTTGAATTTCTTGTTTTCCTGTTGAGCTCGAGCCTTAAAACTGAGGCTCGAGCTTTGGCACTTGAATTACTCCATACTTCACCATTTTGACTCTCGTCTTGCTTTGAATGACCGACAACGACTCTGTAAGTTTCGATATCAGTCTTTTCATTATAAAGTCTCGGTTTTAACCGTTTTTTTGGGAAAGTACCTATAAACACAAAATAAACACAAATTAGTCTAACAATGGATAGCAGTATCACTTTAGGTCTTAACATACGTATAATTAAGGGCTCGAATATGCAACATTCAGTGCTCATCACACCCCCAAACTTATGTATTGCTAGTCCTTTAATAATACAGAACTAAAAAGCCACTTTCATGGGAATCACAGCTGCATTTAGCTTATATAAGAAGCCTTTAAACCCCTAGGTTACTCTTAGTGAACGAGTTGTAGTCTCGTTAGGGTTTCCAGTGATGGTACCCACAAACATCTCAGTTGTGCCTTAATTGCACAATAAGCTCATTCAAGCCTATTTTCATATCATATTATCCCAGCAGTTCATCAATTAATGAAATACAGCAAGTACAACAAATTATATCAATCAGAAAAAATTTTAAACTTCCAATTTCAATTTAGTAACCATATATGGTCCCCACATGTCAATTTAAAATCCTTGTTAGAAGTGAACTCATAGTTTCAAACATGTGGCTTACTATCTATATTTGTATTTATTCCATGTTATCCCTCAATTTACAGGCAAACTTTTCAAATTCCAATTCCCAAGGTATTTTTTTCTATTTTCTACAGGTATGCATTTTTTTCAAAAGGGTATTGTAATACCCCTAATTTTAAAATGATAGTTTCGGTATTTATTTATTTGTTTTAATTATATTTTTAATTATTTAATTAATTATTTGACTAATTGCTTATGTATTTAATTGAATTAGGTATTACTTGATTATTTAATTATGTGTTTATGTATTATTTGTATTTGTCTATGTGTTAATTGTTTAATTAGATTATGTGCTTAAATGATGTTTTGATTAATTGTAAATTAAATTTTTTCTTTTCTTTTATTATTTTATTTTATTTTTCTTTTATGATTATGGTTAGTAGTAATGGGCCAACCAATTGGGTCCCATAGACTACTTGGATAGGAGGTTGGATGTGTATGGATTATTACCCATGGATAGTGTATGTATATATATAGATATATATTATATACATATATAAAAAGGAAAATAATTTATTAATTACTTTTATGGTAACTTGGATAGTAATATTTAATCTGATGTATATGTTTTATATTTAAATAATAAAAATATACATAGATTTGATACGTGTTATGTTTTAAGTTACTTTATAATATTATGATAACTTAAGTATTATTGGATAATCCATTAACAAATAATGGAATTTGTATAATTTATTTATTTAATAAAATATACATAAATTATATACGTAACATATTTTACTTACCTTTTTAATATATATATAAAAGAGAAAGTAATTTATTAATTACTTTTATGGTAACTTGGGTAGTAATATTTAATCTGATGTATATGTTTATTTAAATAATAAAAATATATATAGATTTGATACGTGTTATGTTTTAAGTTACATTATAATATTATGGTAACTTAAATATTATTGGATAATCCATTAATAAATAATGGAATGTGTATAATTCATTTATTTAATAAACATATATATAAATTATATATGTAACATATTTTGCTTACCTTTTTAATATTTTTATTTATTTATTTTTTTTACTTGACTTAAATTGGGAAAAGGGTTAGGGTTATTTTATTTAGCCTATAAATATATAGCTATAGGTTGTAAAAAGGAGTTAGAAATATTCACGTGATATATTCTAAAGAGATAGTGTTAGAGAGGGAAGGAGGAAAAGGAAGGAATGAGGAGAAAAACCCCATAGAGAGAAGATTAAAG